TTATTATTATTATCCCTGAATGTGGCTGTTACCTGTATGCCAGCTATTATACATCAGCTAACTGATGGGTCTTTTCCATGCTTTGGGTTGTAGCCAATGCTAGTCCTACTCAGAGGAGACTGCCAATCATTTTCTGGGTACAATTCAAAGGGCTTGTTTTAAATGGCTCAGGACCCCATACCTCAAGGCCCCATACCTCTCCCCAAATAAAACGACCCAGAGCCCCCTGCAATCATCATTGGAGGCCCTTCTTTGTATGCCCGCTCCACAGGAGATCTGGAGAGTGGTAACATGAGAACGGGCCTTTTCTGTGGTGGCTCCCCATTTGTGGAATGCTCTCTCCAGCAAGGCTTGCTTGGGAGTCGTCACTACATATATTTAGGCGCTAGGCAAAAACACTCCTCTTCTCCCAGGCTTTGGCTAACTAAACAATTTATGTCCTTTTAAAATGGGAGGAGGGTATTGCTATTGTTTCTTACCATGTTTCCTTTCTTATTTTTGTATTTTCTATCATAAACCACCCTGTGATGCTCGGATGAAGGGTGTATGGAAATTTACTAAACCAATAAATAAATAACTGTAATTAAACAAGAGGGGAAGCACTCAGTGATCACAACCCGAGAATGTCCCTGTTAGATTGGGGATGATACAATAATTTTACACTTTCATCTTTGGAAAGGAGGCTGGGAACTGATGGAAAAGCCGAGCAGGAAACCCTGCAGACCAAGATTAAGGCATCAAGCACACCGTCTTAGCCTAGCTGGCTCATCAAGCTGTCAAGAAGGAGACCTTGGATGTGCTTTGCAGAGCTCCACAAGGACGAGCGATGCCTCTTAGCCAAAAGAGGACTCGCAGTTTGGTGCAAACAGGCCAAACGGGAATGTTTTGCACTCTGCAGTCCTTGACAGGGCAGGAACTATTGGCAGAGATGCTTTCCTTTGGAGACTGAGAATGCTGGAGACTGACACGACACCAGGAACCATCTGTTTATTTAAAAACATGCCAAGTGCATGATGGGTGAACCCAGGCTAGTCGTGCCATTAATTTCAATGGGTCTACTCTGAGTAGGACTAAAAATGGGATGTGAACCATTCTTTCCAAGGCACGTGGTCAACCCACCCAGTCTCGTAGGCTTGCACAGGAGCAGGGGAGAGGCACTGAGTCCTTCTGTAGCCTGGTCTGCAATCCTTACCTTATCCTAGACCCATCACCATCACCACCCTGTTTCCCTTTCAGGATCCACTGCCTCTTGCCCTTCCTTTCCTTACATCTCCCCATCCTTTCTCCAGCTACCTAATGTTTCTGAGCTCCAGGAACAAGGAAATAGTGCAGGCTGGAGAAAGTTCCACCCACCAGCCGATGCAGTTAAAGCCCAGCTCTTACCTGACATTCCCACTAGTCACAGAGAAATAATAGCAGGCTAGAGGGAAAGTCAGAGAAGAACTTTTTTTTTTAACATCTCGGAACACCAAGCCACACTTGCGTCTGCATCTGTTCTTGCTGAAAACTAATTAAAATGAATGCCAAGCATGCACACTGCTATTCCCTTGGGGGGAAACCTACCAACCATTCTACTGATTCCCTTCCCACCCCCCCAAGGAATCCCTACAGCAACTTGTTTGCAACTTCTGTAAAATGGACAGAAACTTTGCATTGCTATCGGAGAACTTGTCCTGTGTTAAGGATCTTTGCAGAATGAACCTCAGGGGACATTGCTCTGCCAGAGGCAGCAGAGAGGAGCAAGCCCCTGGGACCAGGACTGCTGCTACCTCCACAGCTTGAGGCTCCTCTGTGTTCCTCCTCTGAAGACTGCCTCTGAGAGGCTTCCCAGCAATTCCAGCACCTCTGGAATACAGATTTGACCCAATTTATGGAAAGCTAGCTAAAAAACCTGGTTTGTCTGCCGTCTATTTAAATGTGATGCCATTGTTAAAAACAGCTGCACAGACTGCTACTACCGAGCCAGGTTCAAAACCTTGAACAACTTAGGTACATTGTACCCCAGGGACCACTTGAACCCTCGTATCCCAGCTCAATCAATAAGATCATCTGCAGGAGCATCGCTGGTCATTCCCCAAGTTGGTGAGGCTTGTTTTGCAACAACAAGAAACTGAGTCTTTAGTGTCATCAGCCCAGTCCTGTGGAATGCTCTGCCACCAGAGATCCAGCAGACGCCTTCTGTGCCAGCTTTTAAATGCCTTCTGAAAACTTTTTTATTCCGCTGGGCCTAGGCAGGCAATGAAGAAGACATCCCCCACAATGGCCTGCTGAGATTTGTTTTAATTATTTTGCTTTCAACTTGTTTTTAATTTGTTAAAATGATTTTACTGCATGGTTTCATGTTTTTATATTGCTGTAAACTGTTGTGAGATATTTCTATGATACAGCAGTATATAAATATTTTAGCAAATACAGTGGTACCTTGGGTTAAGAATTTAATTCATTCTGGAGGTCCATTAAGAGTTTGGGGGGATTCAGTCTTGATGGAACCTTGGTTCTCTTCCAAAGCAGTGATTGTGTATCTGTAAGGGTGGAATGTATAAGAGGAAACCAGCCCAACCAATTCCTTTGTCAAGGTAATGGGTAAGACTGGCTAACTAAGGACCACAATTTAGCATATCCAACGAAGTTGTTCCGCTGCCATAGAAACGAATGGGTGGGCCTTTTCCTAATTGAAGAACAATAGGCCAGGGATGCTGGGTAGGTGAGAATTATGTGCTGCTGGAAGCTGAAGACTATGAAGCATGTCTTGCTCTCTGCCGAAGAGAGTTCTCTCTCGGCTAAGAAAACCAAATGGGGAAGCAAGATCTGTTGGGGTGTTAATGCTGTGAGCCCCTCCATCCTATGCTCAGGCTGTATATATGTGTAAAGAAAAGCACATATCCTAAAGACACCACAGTCTCCTCTGACCTTCATTCCAAGGAAACCGAACGCTGGGTAAGTCTAATTGGAACCAATGGAACCTCTCACCACTCAGAGATTGGGGTGGAGTGTAACAATATTGAAAGGGAAGAGAATTCCAGTCTGCTTCATGACTCACAGCTTGCCACAACAACCAGGCACCATCAGGGGGTCTGTTCAACGAAGTCACGGTGTCCATAGCAATGCAAAACACATACAGGATGTCCTGTGCACCTCACACCACAGCTCATGAAAACAGCAGGCACAAATAGAAACGTTTCACGTATCGATTTAATGAGCTGAGCTAGAAGCCTCGGGAGGAAGACCAGCTCCCAGCTGAAGAAGATAAACACTCAGTGATTGCGGCCTGAGAATGTCCCGATTAGACTGAGGGCAATCCAGTCATGTTGCCCTTTGACCTTAGAAAGGAGGCTGGGAACTGACAGAGAGCCGAGCAGGAAACCCTGCAGACCAAGATTAAGGCATCAAGCACACAGTCGTAGCGTAGCTGGCTCATCAAGCTGTCAAGAATAAGACCTTGGATGTGCTTTGCGGATTTCCACGCGGAAAAGCAGCGCCTCTTAGCCGAGAGAGAACTCGCAATTCGATGTGAACACACTAAAGGGGGGTGTTTTAAATGCAGTTTTACACTCTCCAGTGTTGAACAGGTGGGAAGTCGGGGCAACCTTGGCACAGACAGCTTCCTTCGGAGAGGCACATCCTGCAGTCTTGCAGGTTATCTGGAACCATCTGTTTATCTAAAGGCATGCAAAGTGCCCATCCCTGTGACAGGTGAACCATGTTCAGGGAGGGAGAGCCCAGGTGTTGTGGGGGCATTTGGGGGGTTAGGGGGTGCAATGTCCTGGCCCATACCGGCTGCATTACTTGGACCAGGATTTTGTTTTCTGCTTGAAACATTAACATTAAAATCAGTACAGTACACAAGCAAGGCATGGGTTACCAGCACAAACGGCAATGGGTAGCAAGCTCAGATGTTGATCCAATGGCTGGCACGCTCCCTGGGCTCCTGTTATATGCTGCTTCTGGATGCAGAGGTGACATATAGCCATCATGAGCAGTAACCATTGATCATTTTATCATCTCTGAATTTGCTGGATTCATCCCTTTAAAATCCATCATAGCCCTATGGATGAGAATGCAAGAAGAGTCCTGCTGGATCAGGCCAATGCCCCATCTAGTCCAGCATCCTGTTCCCACCATGGCCTACCAGATGCCCCAATGGGATTTCACAAGCAGGACCCAAGCACAAAAGCCCCTCCTGTGATTTCCAGGAACTGGCATTCAGAAGCATTACTACTCACGATTGTGGCAAGTAAACACTGATAGCCTTATCCTCCATGAATTTGTTAGATCCTCTTTTAAAGCCATCCAAGGATGTGACTGTATCTTGTGGCAGTGAATTCCACAGGTTAGCTTCTCCTAGTAACGTTGCCAGTATCCTACCAGGAAATGACTCCTGATGCTTAGCCAAAGTCTGCTTCCCTGAAATTTCCACATTTGGGACTTTATCCAACATTTCCTGTCCGCTAGCACAAGAGTTTAAAGATTGCACAACAAAGGAATCCAATGCTGCGAGGGAGAGCTAATTGTGCAACAGCTGATTCTGGTTGCAAAGTATGTTGCGCAACAATCTTTCTGTTTTCACTTGCACAGCCGATTTTTCCATTCTGTAGCGCAACAGCTGATCCTTGTCGTGCAATCTGCTGCATAACAACAGTGAATGTAACTAGTATTTGCTATGGCTGTTATTTTTAGCCCACAAATGTTATCCAAATTATTATATGATTTACTGCATTGTTAATAATAATAATAACAATTTTTAATAATTTTATTATTTGTACCCAGCCCATCTGGGTTTCCCCAGCCGCTCTTTGACATTTCCCTTTCACTGGAATGCATCAAAACTAATCACGTAATTAATGATCAGCCATAGCAGACAGCAAGAAGAACAGTGCAGGTTTTAGCAGAAGCCAAACTGCAGCGGAATGGAAACAACGCTGATTGCAAGGAATCCGGGACGGGGTGGGAATTGCTGCTTCCTCCCATCCCTAAGGTGGTACTTAAGTGATACGGCTTACCTGGTGATGATAGCCAGGTGGGGAGGGTTCATGCAAGCCCCCATGAACAGCACCACGTTCTCATGCCGCGTCTGCCTATATGCCATCACTTCCCTCTTGAAGGCTTTCAGCTGGTCCTCGTTATCGCGCTCAATGTCGATCAGGCGGATGGCCACCTCGCCATGCCAGCGGCCGTGAAAGACCTGCCCGAAGCGGCCCTTTCCAATCAGCTCGCCAATCTCCAGCTGCTCAAAGGGGATGTCCCACTCCTGGAGGAAGATGCTGGTCTGGCTGGCCTTGCGAGGGAAGTTGCGGGCAGAGAGGAGAGAGAGGTTCATCTCCTCAAAATCGTCCTCTGATTCTTCATCATTTCCCTGTTCATTCTGGGGGCGGGGAAAACAAGGGAAATTTGTTTTAGTGCAAGTGTAGGTGATATCCACCGTTCCTGCACGGGGATGCCATTCATCTCTCAATCACCCGATGGCACAGTGATGTCAGGTGACCCACTTTCATCACGTGAGTGTGCATCACTTCAAAACCCTGGCAATCAGCTGATTGTGGGGCCTGGAAAAAGCTGTGCACAGGGCTTTACAGGGGGCACAAATCAGTGGACTGGTGGTGCCTGAAACCCCCTTTTGGGACCAGCCTTGTTTTTACCTGCCCTACGCCAGATGTCCCATACAACATCGGTTGTAGGAAATATGGGCATGGCTTGACCAAAACAGCCACATGGGCCAAATGTGCAGCTCTGGTGGGCCTGATTAGGCCCACAAGCTGGAGGCCACCCAATGATGTTTTAAAGCAGATATGAGGAACCTTTGGCCCGCCAGCTGTTGTTGAACTCCTATCATCCATGGCCATTGCTCATGATCTATGGGGCTGACAAGAGATGCAGATAAGCAACATCTGGAGGGCCAAAGGGTTTCCCACACCTGTTTTAGAATCTATTTTATCTAACCTATCCAATGATCCAACACAGCATCAGCTAGCCCTCAAGCTATGGATAACCGACAAGCCCTGAAAAAGGAGGCATGGGTTTGATCCCCATATGGGTGCAAATTCCTGCATTGCAGGGGGTTGAACTAGATGATCCATGGGGTCCCTTTCAACTCTATGATTCTACTCTCTTAAGATGGGCTTGCGTGTCAAATGTGTTGGTCATAGACAACCACAGATCACTACAGGTCAGGTTAGATGGCCCAGAGCATTTTGTGACTGCCAGTGGGCAGGACATCAAGCTGGAAGGAGAGGCAGGCATTGGGTGGGGAAAACCCACAAAAGACCCCTGACTCCCAGGAATAGGGGGGAGCCCACCACATGATTCTCCTTCCTGTGTGGTGCAGGGTGCTCCTTCACAAGTGACTTCTTGGGTGAGCAGCCACTTGCAAAGGAGCAGGATCAGTGCCTGTGCTGAACACAGGTTTTCTGCCTGCTGCAAGGCTTTCCTTCGGAAGAGAAGATGCTTGCAAAGTAGCAGCATCAGCACCTCTGCTGAACAGCTGTTCAGCACAGACGCCGATTCTGCCTGCTGCAAGGCTCTCCTTTGTAAAAGCACACCTGCAGAATTAAGCCCCCTGCTCTCGGTCAGAAGCGGAGGTGGGAGAGGTGATGCTGTATGTTTAATTAGGTAAAAAATAATAATATGCCTTGCCCTCAAGCTACTTTGGGATCAAATTCAGGGTGGGGTGGGTCACCCTGATTCAGGACCCCTGAATTGAGGCCATGGGATGGATGGGGTGGTCACTGGTTCCTTGTGTGCATCTTACCTCAGAGGTTGGTTCCACTTCAATTTGAAGTAATGGGTTTCCTTCCAGGCTGCAGAGAAAACCAAATGTTGCAAATTATTAAGACTTGAAAGTTAGAAGCGCCAGGAGCACAGGGAAAGCTACCTTCTACAGAGTCAGACCATTGGTCCATCCAGTTCAGCATTCTCAACACTGACCATCAGTGGGTCTCCAAGCAGGGGACATCCCCAGTCCAACTTGAAGATGCCAGGGGGTTGAGCTTTGGACATTCTGCATGCAAAACAGATGCTCTAAGGGCTGAATTATTCCCACTTGAAAATCAATGGGACCAAACTTGTCAGGAGTAACTAACTTGTCCCGCTGATGTCAACAGGACTGAAGGATGTCTAACTGAGGTTGCATCTGCACCACCATACATTGAATGCAGTATCATACGACTTTAAACAGTCATGCCTTCTCCCAAAGAATCCTGGGAGGTATAATTTATTAAGGGTGCTGAGAGCTGTGAGGAGATGATCCTGCTTTAAATGTACAATGCAGATGGGACCTTGGTCTCCATGGCAAGAGTCATTAAGCTCCCCCAGAATTTTCTTGAATGGGGGGCTAGAGAAGGGTCGCGGGAGATTGCCTCCCTTTGCAAATGAACAAAGGGCTGCAGTTTCTACAGCAAGTCACGTAAAAAGAATTATGGGATGCTGTTCTCTTCTTACGCCCTTCAAACAATCGAATGGGTCACTGCTCAAAGGCTTATAATACGAAGAAGGGAGGAAACACCAACCAAACAACCTTATAGACGAAATTATCCCTGTGTTATAATGCATGTCATCAACGAAGCACAGTTAATTTTGCCGAACAGCAACAATACGTTTGAAGCTCAGTGAAAATATAAATAGATCTGCAGGCCAAAGAGTCATTTCTTGTGAATCAGTTTGATGGGAGGCCAGGCCCAATATGAGGTTGGGGCTTATCTCATAATTTCTCTTCCCTCTGCACGCTCCCCACCCCTACTAACAGAAAGGCCACTAGTTTTCTGAAATATGACATGTCCGTGATGAGGGTTTTCATCTGAAATGAAATGATTGTTTGACCCAGCCAGCCATACTGATGACTGGTGAAACAATTGGAAGATATGCAACAATTTATATAGGTATGGTTGATTGATTGACAAGCAAATTGTTTGCCGTAATGACAGATGGGGTGTCTGTGGACGAAGGACATTTTTATCTCAAGGACTTCCGGCAGAATGAAACACGTCTCTGTATGCACAGAAGCCACATTCGCACCATACATTCAAAGCACTATGATGCCACTTTTAAACAGTTGTGGCTTCCCCCAAAGGATTCTGGGAGTTGCAGTTTGTTAAGGGTGCTGAGAGTTGTTTGGAGGCCCCCATTGCCCTCTCAGAACTACCGGTAGTTTTCGCAGTGGTTTAATCTTCAATCCTTCTTCCCAGGGAACTCTGGGAATTGTAGCTCCAGGAAGCAAAGAGAGGCCTCCTAACAACTCCCAGCACCCGTCACAAAACTATAGCTCCCAGGATTCTTTAGAGGAAACCAGGAGTGTTTAAAAAGGTAACCTAGTGCTTTTAATGTAGAATGTGGCCTGAGACACATTACCACCTTTGTCCAAGGATGTAATGAAGGCCAGGTCCTGTCTTGTGGGAGGGAGTTCCATAGTTTAAGTATGAACTGCATAAAGAAGAACTTTCTTTTGTCTATCCTAAATCTTCCAATGTCCATTTTCATTAGATGTCCCTGAGAGATAGTATTATGAGAGAGGAAGACCATCTTTTCCCTATCCACTTTCTCTACCCCATGCCTAGTTTTATACACCACTATTACTTTGGGTACCTCAAGCATATTGAAACCACTGCCTTGTTTTTGAAAGCCCATTTTGCTTTCAAGCTGATTGGCAGTTAACCACCCACATTTGCCATTAGAGGGAAGGCTGAGTTGAACTTCCCCTAACTGAAGATTGTTTGCCCTTGATGTGTCCCAAAACTAGTATCTTACCTCTGTACCCTTCCTTTGGTGTCACTCCTGCGAACAGCAAATGCACTTTTATTTATATTTTAAATGGTGTCATTGCTGCTGTTTTAAAGGGGGGGCATGGTGCATTCCTGACAGTGCACTTTCACTTCAGAGACAAAATCAGGCAATTTAGGAATGCCAAAATGCAGACGAGGAGAATTTTGCAAGCGTCTCCAAATGTGATGTACTAAGAAGCAGGCAAAGTTAGCCACGAAATTGACACTGGCTTGGAGGGAAGAAGATTGAACATGAGCTCCCTAAGAATCACGCTGAGGCCATTTCTAATGTTGATTCCTCAGTCATGTCTCCGGAGTCCTGTTTAGTTCGGAGGGATCTTCAAATTATTGCAAACAAGTGATATGAGCCACTTGGCTTCACTCCTAGGGAATACACCTAGTTGCCGATTCCATTTTTCACCTGTGTTTTCATTGATTGCCAGCTAATCTCCCCCAGGCCTGGAGCCAGAGATTGCAGTAATAGCCGAGGCGCTGGCAGCACAAAGCTCCTCACCTAACATTATTTCTCCTCCCAGTCCAACTCTCTCCATTTCGTATTTCAGATGAACAGAGAGGGCACCTTTTAATGATGCAACAGCGAGGAGTGAATTTAGAGCCCAGAGATTGTCTTCTTAGACCAATAAAGACTGATGGTGAGAGGTTCCAGGGAGAAACTATTCACTGAGCTTTCATCCTTGTTTGCGGGGCTGGTTAGATGACATCGATCTACAGAGTCACCTAAGAGCAAGAGTTACCCCATAGCTCCCAGTTCAGGAGTGTGTCCACCCCTGTTGTTCAGCCCAGACACTGAGGTCCAGCTCCAAGGGCCTTCTGGCAGTTCCCTCACTGTGAGAGCTTCACTATACAGCTTCTGCAGAATGCTGAAGATGCAACTCTTAACCCTGACATTTGATCCTTGAGCTCTAGGTTTCTAAGACCCACCTTATTTTTGTGGTTGTAAGTTGTTTCAAACTGTTCTTAATATTGCGCTTTAATGTTGCAACCTGCCCTGGGACGGTAGGGTGAAGGGCTGGTAAATAATAATTATAATGCGATAGTGAAGGCAACATATAAAAGTGCATTATGTTAGGGGAAATCGCTTTGCAAAAATATGCAGTATTAGGCAAAACTGCATACAAAATTGGGTACGTTAGGACAAATTCCTACTAGAATGCTGATGAATATTCATGGGGATTTAGAAAAGAAAGGAATCACAAACTAGAATGGAAATGTGGAGAACTGGAGACTGGAAAACTGAAAAGAAGCAAAGTTGACCGATTTGCCCATCCCTAGTTGAGTCTTGATTGAAATTTCAAAAACTAAGCTGAGGCTGAGCCTCCTATAAGGAGAAACGCCGTTGTCTTCAGCTCAGGTGCGGCAGCCATCACAAACAGGTCCCTTTTCCGTCAAGGGTTTCTCAGCAGGGAGAGCGAGCAAGAGCAAAGCCTTCTGGGAGTCATTTGCCTGCAACTTTACACAAACACCTGCAAAGACTGAATTGCCTTCAGTAAGTTTGTGGGGCAGAGCAGGGGGGGGGGAGGCGGGAGAGGAGAGACATTAATTTTTAAAAGCGGGAGCCGACTTTGGCAATTCGTCTGTAAGCCCCGAGTTAGAGCAGCGGAGGATTCTTTAATCTGCTGCGCACAAACAGCTGCCACTCTGAGATCTCGAGCCTCGCAGAGAAGTCAATTACTCCTGCCTAAAAGCCTGGGAGAAGAAGCCTTCCCAGTGGGACTGGCAGGCCGGTCGCTTCCCGCATCACGAGCGCTGTCCCCTGCTCTGCGTTCCCTTCGCTTTGACCTTTGCAATCCTACACAAGCTTATCAAGTTACGAGCAGCGGCCAAAGCCAGGGGCTCCGTGGATCTGCTTCTCAGCCATTTATCATTACTGTTAAGCAAAGGATGGAGTCTGTACATTCCCATGTGGGACCCAAAGGCACAGAGAACTGACACAGGAGATCTGTTCCATTGCATATTTTAATTAGGGAGACTTATATTTCAATGTTGATTGTTTTATTGTGCATATTCATTATCCTTTCTGTCTTGTATTTTATTCTGTGAACCACCCTGAGATCTTATGATGAAGGGCAGTGTGTAAATCTAACTTCTTCACTTTTAATAGCATTGTGGATGTTTGAGGCATTGGTTCTGAGGTTCGAAGCCCCACAGAGCTTGGGACCAGGTTATAAGAACATAACAAAAGCCTGATGGATCAGCCCAATGGTCCATCTATTCCAGCATCCTCTTCTCACAGTGGCCATTCAGATGCCTGTGGAAAACCTGCAAGTGGGACATAAGCGCCACAGCACTCAGAGGCAGAATGCCTTTGGCAGTGGATGGAAAATATATAAAATATTGTCTCTCTCTTTATATACCCAGCCAGTCACCAAGTTGTGCAGGAGAGGGTCTCCTGTGGGTAGCATCTCATCAGGAAATCCATTCTGTGCAACAGAACAACTGGGCCTTTGGAACTCCCTCCCTTTATACATCAGACAGGCACCTCCTCTCCTGTCTTTTTCTTTGCCTTCGCTTTTCAACAACGCTTTGAGTTGTCTGCATCTGTATTGGATCTGAATTTGTTTTTGCATATGAAAACGTTTTAATCGCGTGAGTTCTTTCCCTGCCCCCAAATTGCTGTAAGCTTAAAATGCATTTTAAATGTGTACTTTAGTGCCAATTTCTGTACTTTTCTTTATTTTTTAAAAAAGCCTGCAGATTAACATAGGAATGGAGCCAGATGGATGCATGAGTAAACAAAGACGAAAGTGGCAGGAACCACTTGCTGTAAATTTCAAGAGGGGGAGGGCGCTGTTGAGCTCAGGTCCTGCCTTCGGGCTTCCCATTGGGGCATCTGGTGGCGAGAACTGGGCTAAATGGACTCCACCTTGGCCTGATCTGGCAAAGCTCTTCTTAGGACTGATTCATCCATCCATGAGCACATAATGCAGAGGAAAGCAGAAGTGCGTGTCCAGATTTGCAACTGGAATATAGGAAGCTGCCTTGTACCAGGCAAATCTTTCTAGCTTCTCCTGTTAAGAAAACAGCACACGTTCACAAACTGCTGCACCCCAACTTCAATCAGCTGTGATGCACCTATAGGCTCTTCCTACCAAATAATTAGTAAAGGTAAAGGGACCCTTGACCATTAGGTCCAGTCGTGGCCAATTCTGGGGTTGCGGCGCTCATCTCGCTTTACTGGCCGAGGGAGCCGGCATACAGCTTCTGGGTCATGTGGCCAGCATGACTAAGCCACTTCTGGAGAACCAGAGCAGCACACGGAAACGCCGGTTACCTTCCTGCCGAAGTGGTACCTATTTATCTACTTGCACTTTGACGTGCTTTTGAACTGCTAGGTTGGCAGGAGCAGGGACCGAGAAATGGGAGCTCACCTTGTCGCGGGGATTCGAACCACTGACCTTCTGGTTGGCAAGTCCTAGGCTCTGTGGTTTAACCCACAGTGCCACCCACGTCCCAGACCAAATAATTACTAATGTTTTAAAACAGGGGCTATTGGGGGGGGGCAAGTGGACACTGCCTTGCCATAAGGGCACAGGAAGTGTCTGCTGGGTCAGGCCAACAGCTCATCTAGTCCAGCCTCCTGCTCTCACAGTGAATAAGCAGATGCCCATTGTGGGAAACCAGCAAGCAGGATTCGAGCAAAAGAACAACAATCTCCTCTCCTGCAGTTTCCAGCACCTGGGGGCAGAGCATAGTCTTCATGGCTAGCATCCATCAATAGCCCTCTCTTTCATGATTTTGTCCAATCCTCTTTTAAAGGAGCGTCTCCACCCGCATCGTTCTGCCCGGACACTGAGGTCTAATGCCGAGGGCCTTCTGGCGGTTCCCTCCCTGCGAGAAGCCAAGTTACAGGGAATGAGACAGAGGGCCTTTTCGGTAGTGGCACCCGCCCTGTGGAACACCCTCCCACCAGATGTCAAAGAGAAAAACAACTACCGGGCTTTTAGAAGTCATCTGAAGGCAGCTCTGTGTAGGGAAGCTTTTAATGTTTAATAGACTATTGTATTTTAATATTCTGTTGGAAGCCGCCCAGAGTGGCTGGGGAAACCCAACCAGATGGGCGGGGTATAAATATTTTTATTTTATTATTATTATTATTATTATTATTATTATTATTAAGCCATCCAAGTTGGTAGCCATCACTGCCTCCTGCAGGAGGGAGTTCCACAGTTTAACTATGTGATGTGCAAAGAAGTACTTTCTTTTCTCTGCCCTGAATCTTGCAACATTTGGTGTCATTGAATGTTGACAAGTTCTAGTGTTGCGAGAGAGGGGCGAAAAACTTTTCCCTTTCTCCATGCCTCAGTCAGTCAGTCAGCCTGCCTGCTGTCCTCCTTCTGACTTTGGGCAGCCCTAGCTGTCAGCTTCCTCTCCCTTGGTCTGAGTTTTGTCCTTGTAGAACTCAGCAGGGAGGAAGACTGGGTGGCTCTGCCTGTCATGGGCTCTGTCGCCACCTACTGTTGGCCTCCTTGCCTTCTGCCCTTCCAGTCAGCCCCCATGGGAACAAGCCACCACTAGCCAGAGGGTGAACAGACAGGAGATGGAGATCTTTGGGTCATTTGCAACAGAACAGCAAATGGTTTCTGACTCTGAAGTTTTTGAGAGCAACAAGAGCATAGTAACTCTTCCCGCCTAATTTAGGGGGCTAAAATGAAAAAAGCTAATCAGGCGTGTTCTTCTTGTGTGAAAGGACTGTTAGGCCAGTTAAATTATGTAGGGATGGGGAAGAAATCTGATTCGGTTTGAATTTAAAGCACAATATCTATCAAATTTTCTCTTTTCAAAATAGTACAGGAACTGAAACACAGCCTCCTTCGAAATTCAGGCTTACCCAAATTTCATGGCACAGTTTTCCAACCAACCAAAGTTTACAGAAATTCACATTTGAAGTGGATATGTGCATAAAAATGAATATATTAGCGAAAATAACATACGAAACAGGCATTATATCAGGAGAAAATGTTTGCAAAAGTGTGTATGCCTCAGCCAAAACTCCTTGCAAAAATGTGTCTGTTAGGAGAAATGCACACTGAATTGTTGAAAGGTTGTTGTTTTGGGATTTTTTAAAAGGCAAATTGCTGCAGAAATGTGGAGAAGTGAAGTTAAGATTGGGAAAATAAGAACCAAGAATGACAGATCCTTCCACTCCTAGTCACTAGAAGCAAATCTCTGAGCTCAGGATGTGATCAGAGGCACCTATTCTTTCATTCTGCCTGGTTGTCTCTGGCACCTGACTGTGGCTGGTAGATCATGGGGTTCTGGTGGAAAAAACAAACTAGATCTGACAAGAAGTCTGCCTGCCCCTGTTTTGAAACTCTCTCTGCTCCCGGCTCATTTACTCCCAGCTCCGTTCTGTCCACCTGCAGCTTCCCCTTCACAGTTCTGATGAGTGAGAATCTTGTACGGGTGTGCACCTTATTAGTTTGAAACCCGTCTCCCTTTTCCTGTTGTTCTCCTGTCTTTTGTCCTTTCAGTGGTGAGCCTTCCTTAACAAGTGACAGCTCTGTTTCCTTTATTTCTACAGCCCTTCACATTCACCATAAGCAAGCGTGACGGTGAAGTCAGCAGCCTCTGTTTTACCAGGAAGTGAAATTTGCACAGCACAATGTAGAAGCACAGCTCTTTCCCAGGCAGCGCAACTGAGAGAAGCACCTCTTGCCCAGCACAACTTAGATCTATGCCATATTTACACGAATCTAATGCTCACCTTTTTTGGGCCAAATTACGTTGCGAAAATTAAGGTGTGCATTAGATTTGATGGCACATTTACACTCACCAGCAAATGCTTTTTTTGTTTTTTGTTTTGAGGTTCTGAAAATTGAAGTGCTCATTAGTTTCAATGGCACATTAGACTCGAGTAAATACGGTAGCTCTTGTCCAGAACAATGTATTGCTTCTATTTCATTGCTTTATTGTAAAAAAAAATACATAGACACACACACACACACCCTCAAAGTGGTTTGCAAATGATAAAACCGTAAAATCAAGAAGAAATCACAACCATACTTTAAAACATACAAAAGTTAATATGCTAAAACAGATTAAAATTACTTCCACTTTCTAAGCACAGAGACATAGTGATTGCCCAACATAACTTAGAGACATAGCTTGTCTTCCCAAACAGCAACTGTAAGGTAACACTGATGTGTCTAAGTCAGGGACGGAGCTAACTCCAAGCCTGGAGCCTGAACTGATCCTCCAAGCAATTTTTTTTTAATTGCTCTCTGATGCAAGTTTCCCCCTCTGTGGTTGTCAGGTTGATCAACTGAGGAGCAGAGAACAGGTGATAGCTTGCTCCTCAGTGGATCTGCACCGGTCCGCTGAGAAAGAGGGTCTGTGTACACATGACTGGGTGTGTGAGCGAACGGTGGCTGCACCCACTTCTGGCCATACTGGCCTGTGGAGGTTTGGTCAAGGATGCATACAGCCCCCGGGGCCAAAAAAAGTTAGCTACTCCTGGTCACAGCGGTTAATACATGGGAGATCTCCTTTGAGAGAGTCAACATCAAAACACGTTGGGAAAACTGCCTTATATGATTGGATTGTATCCTGTGGTCTCTCTTGCACTGGCAGAAAGCTCTTCGGTCCAGCTGAGACTTGCATCAGCGGAAGGGGAAAGGGGACAACATTTGCAATTCTCCTAGAGTCCCCTGGGCTACATCCCATGTTGTCCAAAAGGTCTCTCAACTTTCTCATAGATTCATTGAGTTGGAACGTGGAAGGGACCACAAAGGTCATCTTGTCCAATCCCCTGCAATGCAAGAATCCTGCCCACAGCTGTCCCTGTGTGGGCTTGAACCACCGCCATTCTGGTTAGCAACCAGACTCATGGTACCGCAGACTCTCTCCTCTGGGGCAGAACTGAGGCATGGGGAGGGGGGGCTAACGGAACTATCTGCTGGTCCAACGAGCCTTCCATCAGCACACCATGGGAAACAGCCCATTGGCACACAGCTCGGTTGGCAAGAACATCAGACTCTTAATCTAAGAATCGTGGGTTCAAGCCCCACATTGGGGGAAAAGATTCCTTCAAACTCTACAATCCTATGATTTTATGAAATTAAAAAAGGTAAAGGTACCCCTGCCCGTACGGGCCTGTCTTGACAGACTCAAGGGTTGTGCGCCCATCTCACTCAAGAGGCCGGGGGCCAGCGCTGTCCAGAGACACTTCCGGGTCACGTGGCCAGCGTGACGAAGCTGCATCTGGCGAGCCAGCACAGCACACGGAAACACCGTTTACCTTCCCGCCAGTAAGCGGTCCCTATTTATCTACTTGCACCTGGGGGTGCTTTCGAACTGCTAGGTTGGCAGGCGCTGGGACTGAGCAACGGGAGCGCACCCCGCCGTGGGGATTTGAACCGCCTACCTTTCGATCGACAAGCCCTAGGCGCTGAGGCTTTTACCCACAGCGCCACCCACGTCCCTTTTATGAAATTACTTCACCATATTAAAAAGACATTCATGTGCACCCACCGCCCTGGCTTTCCTGTACGATTTCTTCATCTTCCCCTCCCCAGCGTAAATCTGACTCTCCTTGGAGGGCATTCCCGATCCAGATTCCAGATCTACTACAATACCTACTAGGGAGAGGCAGGTTCTTCCAGGGAGAGGTCTCAATGAAGGTGGGCTTCAGAATAAGAGCAGAAATTCATGAGGACTACTCACATTGGGTTAGCATTCACTGGATGGAGGATGACTTGGGGCGCTCGGGTGGGCGTCTCGGGCACATCTGAAAGCAAAACAGGAACCTGGTTCAGAACAGGGAAAGATCGCACGTGCAATTCACATACTTAGCAGTGCCCACAACATGTTTGCATAGCAAGCATCCTGCTGGCATATGTGACAAGAGGGCCAGTGTGGTGTAATGGTTAGAGTGCCAAACCAAAAAGGGTAAAAAAAGTGCCAGACTAAGACCTAGGAGACCATGGTTCGAATTCTCTCTCAGTCATGAAGCTCACTTTGGGTGACCTTGAGCCAGTGACTAACTCTCAGCATAACCTACACCACAGGGTTGTTGTGAGGATAAAACAAGGAGGAGAGAACCAAGTACTCTGCCTTGAGCTCCTTGAGGTAAAAGGTGTGATATAAATGTAAAAAAAATAGGTTGCAGTTTTGAGGTAGAGGAGAATGAAATCATCACTATGAGTGTGCACCAGATTTGGCTGAGTCTAAAGCCGAATTGGGAATATTCAGAAGGATTGTTCAGGGTGGGTTGAGACAGCCCCAGAAATTTGGAGAGAATTGGATTTCAAAGGCTGGCTGAGTTCCAACGGAGGGGGCTCTTCTTGTGTTCTTAATGCAAATGTAAATTTCCTTGTCGGTTGTTTTAGTTTTAGAATTTAAAATTTGACTAAAAACTGTGTGCCTTTGACCAAGATAACCCCCAATCCCCAAAGCTGCTCTGATCAAGATGCTGTTCCAACTTTTAAATACCTGCTGAAAGCTTTTCTATGCAGGCAACTAAGTTAATGATGGCTGGTTTTATCTTTTCGTGTTGTTTTTATTGCATGGTTTTATGTACAGTTGTTGTGCAGTGCTTTGGTTGTTTTTTTTAATGAACAGCGGTATACAAATATTACAAAAAAAAACACAGATGGAATTGCCTTTAAACATGAACTGAGTTGAGTTTCCCATCTCTACAGGGTATGAAATTGAATGTGGGGGGGAAACTGGCCACGTGTCAGATGAAGATGGGTTTTTGCGCAGGAGATGCCTCTGGGAGGCTGCAGCCATTCTCGAGAAACTTACCTGGGAAGATGAATTGCTGCTTGTATTTGTAGTAATGAGAAGCTGTAAAGGAGAACAAGGATAGCTTAGGAAAGGTAAGTAGTCAGAGAGCACCAGTGCACCTCTGAGAAATCAGACAGGAATGAGGCTTGTGAAACATCACCCAACAACCTCCCCCCAAAATAATTGCTTGCTTTGTATTTGTGCTCCCAGAGGATGCAGAGATGGCCATCAACCTAGATGGCTGATCTTCTCTGGGCTGAATGTTTAAGGAGACACAGAAAGGAATCTTTTGGTTGGGCAGTGCCCCCTTTGCCCCAATGGACCAGCCCTCTACAGAGTAGATGGTGTGAAGGAACTGGACTGCTTTTTTGAAAAAGAAATCTTGGATATCATTTGTTTTGGGAATCACGGGGTGAACCTGGGTTCCTGAAGCAAACCCATGTCTGGCAGGTACGCAGATCAGGAGGTGTCAAAATGAGGGTGTAATGTGTGGCTTGTGGGCAGTCTAGTCTGTAGAGTAGATTAAGGCAAAAGTGGACCTTTTTCTGCTGTCTGTGGGCTGAGATATAAAAGCAGCTCAGGGACAGAGGAGGAGAAGCTGCTTCCTGGGAGGCCGACTAAAGACGTCCCTGGGGAGAGTGCTGATAAAGAGGAAGATTCCATGCTCCAGTTCCTGGGCTTCCCTTCAGGTGTAAACAGTTCGCTTCCGTTTTGCAACACATCATTGCTTTTGCGTGGTTTTGTGTTGTCACCATTGCTGCTGCATTTTCTACATTTTGCAAAGGCTTGGGGTGGGTCTCTAGGTTTACTCTGCCCACCAAGGAAATGGTTGTATGGAGGTTTAGTTAGTTATTTACTGCTTCTGTCCACTACATTTCTGTTCTAGAACAAAACTGTTTTTGTACTACGTGTCTCAGTGCCGTGGGCTGTCAAGACAGAACATAATATTTTTTCCTGTTATCTGATGAGAGAGAGAGACTACGTACACACACACACACACACACACACACACACACACACACGTATGACCAAGCTGCATTTTTGCAATGGCAAGCAAATGAAATCGGAGTGAGTACTTCAAATCAAATATCAGCGGGTTGTAAAGGTGATTCATTGGTTTAAGCTAAATTTAAGAGTAATTCCAGGACATTTAGAGGATTTGCTTTAACCTTGCCCTTATTTTAAATGGGAAGTGCATTTGCTCATGTTTTGTGTCTGTCTTAATAGACATTTTATTGTATTATTTGCAGTGGCCTATGGCTACTAAGCAATAAAGATTGATCATGCACTGAAAACAAGGAGGGAAATGCCCAGCCACGCTAGTGATACAAACCAAAATGGTTCAGCTCCAGCAAGTCACTTTAAAGGCATCTTGAATACTACTCAAAGTAAATAAATGCCATCAAATGGACAAATAAATAGAGCCTCTTTAACAAAATTCCACTATTAGCAGAATCCAGGGCTTTGCTTTTAAAAATTCTAATTCCATCGGTAAAATGGATCCACTCAAATTTTCAGTCGCCCCAGGCTGTGAAAATTCCAGCTGGGTAGCCGAGATCCAGGGACTCTTCTGTAAAAATGGGTTGGGGTCTCATTAGTAGCACAGAATGTCTTTGGAGGACAGAGGCACAATGCATCAAAAGAAACACTTGTGCAAAGGATGGCTTTGAGAGGGAATTAGGCAAATGCACAGAGGAGAAGGCTACTAGGGGAAGCCAGGAGTCTAAAAGCTTGTCCATATATAGCACTCAAAAGTTGACGCATTTGGGTAGGGCCAGGATGGGGAATATGCTCTCTGACAGATGTTATTGGACCCCAGCTCCCATCCTCCCTCACCACTGGACATGCTGGCTGAGTCCATCAACATCTGGAGGGTCACAGATTCCCCATCCCTGGGTTAGGGAGTCACGAGCCAACAGCACAAATGACACCAGCACCCAGAAAATCACCACTCTCTCTGCACAATTAAATTCCATTCACTTTCTATTGCTCCTCTTCTCATGAGATCGAGCTGATTTCGCCAAGCTTCCCTGTTCCCCTCTGCATCAACAACTCATTCTAACCAGCTGCCCAATCCCCTGCACATTTCTGCTGATAAGTAAGTGCGCACAGGGCCACAAGTTGTCGGCCGATCTCAACATCAGCTGCCAAGTGAAACCCGTTTCTGTTTAAGCAGGCGTTTGGCCTGTTGAGCTGATTTGGTTTCGTTCCACTACTCTGTGTTTTAATGAGTCCTCGGCTGAATGCTTTGGCCCATACTTTCTCATCCCTTTCAGTGGAGGAATGAAAATGCCCCCCTGGAGTTGGCCAAGAGTGATTAATTTTCGCTTGGGGATGGCGGCTTGTCACTCATTTAGATGAGGCAGCAGAGGGCTTTCTAATTTTCTATTCTTTCTCTGCCTTCTCAACTTCACCTGTCGTCTGTTGGTTACACTTTGGGGCTAGTCTGGAGAGAGCTGAACCACGAGTCCAGATTCAGATGACAAGCTTAGACAAACGATGGCGCTCAGCACAGCACAACAGCAAAATGGCAAGGGAGCAACAAGGCAGCTGCAATCTCCCTGGAAGTCTCCATGTTTGCACTAAGCAATGGTTTAGTGTGACATTCAATACAAGTCTGTCTGGATCTGTGGCTCAGCTGGAGCTGTCCAGGGTGCTGACTTCTTTGTCTGCCTTTTTTGGAACTAAACCTCTACTTTGCCCTACTTTGCTGACCTGCACCTATCCTCTGTCTTGACTGATCCCACAAGAATTTAACCTCTGCTTTGCTTGACCATGTTCACTGGAATCTGACATCCACTGGAACCTAACCCCTGCTAGATCCAGTGTCACTTGCTGGATCCTGAACTGCGAAAGGTGGGATATGATTTGTCATTCTGCAAATCTGTACCTGGAACTTGCCCCCACTTGGGCTAAAACACACACATCTGGCGAGGAGTTGCCTGGGACAGAAGAAGCCTGTAAATGCCAATCCAATTCTGAATTGGCCCATTTGGTATTGAATTTCTCAATATGACGCTCAGCTATATTACAAATTAAGTATTTCTTGAAGAAGCTCATAAATATCAATTCAATTCTAATCAGACTGGAGTGAGTTTGCCCATCATCAGTTGTAGTCAAATGAATTGGCCACAGCCGGTCAACAATCCCCCACTCCTCTGAGCTGAGAATCTCAGGTGTAAATATAAATGCAGGTAATTCAATCTGTCTTTCTAAGACTCGCCTTCAGACACAGCCAGCCCTGTCTGAAAATGGATGACTGTCTGGGGTCTTTCGAGGACACCCAAATGGGTTTGATAGTGTGCTGTTCCTAGAGTTTCTTCTCTAGCTGATGAAAAAGGGTTGCCTTATTTCCCATAATCATTTTTCTTAAGGGCCATGCATAATAATAATAATAATAATAATAATAATAATAATAATAATTTATTATTTATACCCCGCCCATCTGGCTGGGCCTTCCCAGCCACTCTGGGCGGCTTCCATAAAAACCACAAATACAGTAAAATATCACACGTTAAAAACTTCCCTGAACAGGGCTGCCTTAAGATGTCTTCTGAATGTCAGGTAGTTGGTTATCGTTTTGACATCTGCTGGAAGGGCGTTCCACAGGGCGGGCGCCACTACCGAGAAGGCCCTCTGCCTGGTTCCCTGTAGCTTTGCTTCTCGCAATGAGGGAACCGCCAGAAGGCCCTCGGCGCTGGACCTCAGCGTCCGGGCAGAATGATGGGGGTGGAGACGCTCCTTCAGGTATACTGGACCGAGGCCGTTTAGGGCTTTAAAGGTCAGCACCAACACTTTGAATTGTGCTCGGAAACGTACTGGGAGCCAATGTAGGTCCTTCAAGAGCGGTGTTATATGGTCTCGGCGGCCGCCCCCAGTCACCAGTCTAGCCGCCGCATTCTGGATTAGTTGTAGTTTCCGAGTCACCTTCAAAGGTAGCCCCACGTAGAGTGCATTGCAGTAGTCCAAGCGGGAGATAACCAGACCATGTACCACTCTGGTGAGACAGTCTGCAGGCAGATAGGGTCTCAGCCTGCGTACCAGATGGAGCTGGTAAACAGCTGCCCTGGACACAGATTTGACCTGTGCCTCCATGGACAGCTGTGAGTCCAGAATGACTCCCAGGCTGCGCACCTGGTCCTTCAGGGGCACAGTTACCCCATTCAGGACCAGGGAATCCTCCACACCTGCCCGCGTCCTGTCCCCCAAAAACAGTACTTCTGTCTTGTCAGGATTCAACCTCAATCTGTCAGCCGCCATCCAACCTCCAACCGCCTCCAGGCACTCACACAGGACCTTCACTGCCTTCACTGGTTCTGATTTAAAAGAGAGGTAGAGCTGGGTATCATCCGCATACTGATGAACACCCAGCCCAAATCCCCTGATGATCTCTCCCAGCGGCTTCATGTAGATGTTGAAAAGCATGGGGGAGAGGACCGAAACCTGAGGCACCCCACAAGTGAGGACCCAGGGGTCTGAACACTCATCCCCCACCACCACTTTCTGAACCCGGCCCAGGAGGAAGGAGCGGAACCACTGTATAACAGTGCCTCCAGCTCCCAGCCCCTGAAGACGGTCCAGAAGGATGTTATGGTCGATGGTATCAAACGCCGCTGAGAGATCCAGCAGAACTAGGAAACAGCTCTCACCTTTGTCCCTAGCCCGCTGGAGATCATCAACCAGTACGACCAAGGCAGTTTCAGTCCCATGATGAGGCCTGAATCCCGACTGGAAGGGATCCAAATGGTCCGCTTCTTCCATGCGTGCCTGGAGTTGTTCGGCAACCGCTCGCTCAATCACCTTGCCCAAGAATGGAAGATTTGAGACTGGGCGATAGTTGGCCATCGTGGCCGCATCTAAAGATGGTTTTTTAAGAAGCGGTTTAATAACCGCCTCTTTCAGCGGGTCTGGGAAGGCTCCCTCACCATTTTGCCATGTTGTCTGACTGTAGAGGGACCTCTTGAAACAAGAGTGATGGAAGGAACTGTTCTCATCAGTGTGGAGGAAGGAGGAAGAACCACGATAGGCCAAGATGAATGGCAGGCACCAACAGATTTGCACTGTTGATGATCTACCTCTATGTAGTGATCAGAGAGGGACAAGAGAGGTCTTGCTGTTTTGAAGGAAATGTAGAGAGCTGCTTTGTTGCAAGCCGAACCATTGGTCCATCTAGCTCAGCATTATCTACACCAGGGATGGGGAACACTTTTCATCCCAAGGACCGCACTGGTGGGCAAGGCCAGGAGCAAAAGGGAGGGCAATAAATGCAAATATTACCTTTGTACAGTAGGGTAGTACCTATGCACACCCATCTAACCCTTTCTATCCTCCATGCAGGAAAGCAAGAAAGATGATCAGAGTTCAAGGACACATTCCGAAAAAACACTCAAGACAGGTGTGAAGCAAGGCTGCTGGTGGGTGTGGCCTGTGGAGAAGAGGTGTGGCCTGGGAAGAATTCCGTAGGCCAGCTAGAGAGGCCTGGAGGGCCACTTTTGGTCCCTAGGCCTCAGGTTCCCCATCTCTGATCTATGTCAGTATTGTCTACTCTAAGGATAGAGGAAATCTGTGTGTGTCCCCTATGCAACAGATAGGAACATAGGAAACTTATACCAAGTCAGACCACTAATCCATCTAGCTCAGTAGTGTCTACACTGACTGGCAGCAGCTCTCCAAAATGTCAGGCAGGAATCCCTACCCAATCCTACCTGGAGGTGCTAGGGACTGAATGTGGGACCTTCTGCTTGAAAGGTGGACGTTCTAACCCTGAGCTATGGCATGATGTGCTGTTGATTTTCGTGTGATCCTACAATGCTTATATATCTCTTGTAAACTGAAATGCATCCACTGGTGTCCTCTGCTCAAGTATTTAAAAATGAAACCTTCCCAAACAGATCTGTAGCCTCCCGGGGTCTTGTTTGGTCAATGTGCAGGGGCAAATTAAGAATGGTTCAGAGCAAAAGCTCAGGACATACCTGGCAAGTTGAACTGCTTCTGCTGCCGCGTGCACTGTGGGGAGGGGTGCAGGGGAGAGGGCGGTGTAGCACTGGGCGGCAGAGGCGGAGCTGGTGAGGAGGGCGTGGATGACGTCGTCGAGGAGGGGTTGCTGCTGGAATCAGGCTGGTAGGGCACCGGAATGTGGTCCTGTGGGAAGAGGAAGAACAGACCAGTGAGAGTGCAACTGGTGAGTGTCCATGCATAGAGCTCTTGCCACACAAGATGGGATCCTGGACCAATAAGTGAAGTGACTAGTAGCTGGCGAGATCTCAGACCACCTTGGACACTGAGCGGGGAAAGATTCTCAGCAGTGCAGCAAAACACCATCTTGAGCTTGGGAACGATCCCCTCCCATAGGCAGCCGAGTAAGCATCAAACATTGGGGGTGAGGAGGAGTGGCTGGGGGGAAGAAACAGCCTCCTGTTCCCCGCAGAGAAATCACAAGTCAGCTCAAGTTACTCTCCATTGATTATTCCTCATGGGCCATTTAACTTTACGGAGACAACAGAGGGCACTTCAGGGTAAGCAGACAGATGGGATTTTTGTACAATGCTGCACATTCTTATTGCGGCTCTGCAGGGACTGCAGCCCCCCCCCCGAAATAGGCTTGAGGCTGTCAATGGATAACAGCTCCTCGTAACACAGGGAAAGGAAGACATGGGGAACACATAGAGCAAGGGCTGGCAACAAGGTGCCCATGGGTGCCAATGTGCTGTATCATAAATGACTGCTTCCCTCCTCACACCTTTCAGAATCCATGTTGTTTGGATTCTATACTGTAACAGTTGCATTGACTCCCTAGTTAGTGTCCAGGGGCAATTTGAAATGCTGGTGTGACCATATATAAAGTGCTGCTATTGGTATTGACATATCCACACACAAAAACACTCAGATATTAGAGTCCACACTATAGTACAAAATTCCACTCCTCCATTCGTAGTCAGCTGTCTTCAATTTGCTCTTGTTTCTATACAAATAAATAGTCATTTATCTAAGGTTTACAACTCAATAATAGGACCAAAATATATCCATTGCACTGACATGAAAAGTCATGCTCATGGAAAAGTTTTGCCTCTTCTGTCTGACCGTCCTACCTTAAAGCAGAGTGAAAACTTTGATTCAGGGAAATTTGAGCTCACCCAAAGGCTTCCCTCTTCCTTCAAGAGTAAACACAGAGATGTAGGAAGTTGTGTTTATACCAGAGCTCTGTCCGCCTTACCCACTCTGTTGTCTACTCTAGTCCAAATATTGCCGGATTAAAACTTCCAATGTACCCAGCCAGTCTGGGTCATAGATGTTATAGTGACTGGAATCTAGGTACATCACATTTGGAGGGTCACAGGTTTCCCTTCTCTGATTTAGAATTTTTGGAGGCCATCAGCAAGTATGATGATGGGGTGATGTGGAGTAGTGTAGTGGCAAAATCACAGCCACACCCTCTCTCAGCCACACCCCCTTATAAGATTATGAAATAATCTGATAATTCTGCAGGGGGGGAATTAGGGGTGCCTTGCAACGATCAGCGCAGATCTCCATGTGTTGCCTTTCAGTTGGGTCTACGATTTTCTGTGCAAGCAAATGGGCAAATGATTTGGAGTGCTCCAAAATCTTCTTTCCAAGTGACCTAAGCTGTGTCACCCTTGAAGTTCCACTGTACATAACAAAACTTGCACACCATTCTTTTGAAGCTAAAGCACCTTATGTTTTGGGTGTTCCACAACGCTTAGCTTTGAAGTAGGGAGAGCAACTCCTCTGTGTCCTTCCCTGGAAGGACCCTAGGAGCCAACCCTCAGTGGCTGACTAGCCACCTTTCAATCTGATTGGCTCAAATCAGCACAAAGGGTGAGAAGTCTTCACCTGAATGGTTTAAAATGCTGAGTGTGCAGCTCTAAGTTGCTGGAGACAAGGACCTTGCTCCAGAAAAAGGACATGTCTTCAGCTCCCATGTACCACTATATTTCTGGCTATCTGTTAAAGCTGGGGTGGGATGTCACCTACCCAGTCAGACTATTTGTTCATGAAGCCCAGTCTGCCTCCCCTGGCTGGCAGCAGCTCTCCAAGGTCTTAGGAGCGCCCACTGCAATGCAACATTATTTGTCCATCTCTCGGCTTGACAGCTTCTGCTGCTGTTGAACCAGCTTGCTGTTTAAAAACGCCTGTCCCAACCTCACCCACCCCCTTCCAAAACAGGTTTCTACTTAGCGTTGACCAGATTTGCTGAAATGTATACCAGCCCCTTTGAGATTTGAATTGGCAGATATGCCTGGAAACCCAAGGAGCCATCTGCAAAGTTCTGGCCCAGCAGATGGCTGAACAGACCAGCAAGTAAACTGGGGGATGCTATTTTTCAAAGCAGAAAAAAACCCTGTGCCAATTTCCTCCCCTCCCCACCACAATTCATTTTCATTACAGAGCACTTGTTTCCATGGCAAGCAAGGAAGGGTCTCTTTTCCCCCCTCCCCCATTTATCCAGTAGTTCCACTCATGGAAACATTGAAACATAGTTTTATACTGAGACTGACCATTGTGTCCATCTAGCTTAGTATTGTCTACACTGACTGGCAGTGGCTCTGGCTCTGCCTATCATTGGCTCTGGAGCCACCTACTGTCAGTGTCCCAGTTCCCCCCCCCCAATCCCAATGGGCACCAGCCACTTCTGACCTTCAGCATACAAAGCTCTGTGCTCTACCATGGAGCTATTGACTCCCTTGGGCTTCCAATGTGACTGGCTTGCAGTCACTCCAGTCCCACCGAAGCAACTCTGCAACATCTCACCTTGTTGATTTTGTTGGTTTTGGGAAGCGTCTGGCTGACATGCAGGTCCGAGTATCTGGGGGGCTTCCTCAATGGGTTGTTAATATCACATGGCACAGATTCTGTCCGGACTAACCTTGCTGGATCAAAAAGAGAGAGAGAGACAGAGAGAGAGAGAGGAGAGGGGGGGGGAGACAGAGAGATAGGGTGGGGTGGAGGGGTGGAGAGAAAAATAGAGAAAGAGAAAGATCAAGGTTTTAATTTTGCACTTAGTCCACATATCTAAAGAGCAGCTTCCTTTGAAGCTCCTAGAGCTTATGAGTTCAAACCCAAATGAGAAGCTAAACTTCCCCTGTGCCTAACTACTCATATGAGGGGTAGAGAAAGCTCCAGCCCTCCAGGTGTGACTGGACTCCAACTCCCATCATTCCATTAGCCATGCTGGCTGGGGCTGAGGAGCGCTGGGATCCCACAGATTGCCCATCCCCTTCTTTTGACTTAGGCCACATTCACAGCATACATCTAAAGCACTGTATGTTGCTACTTTAAACAGTAGTGGCTCCCCCCCCCAAGACTCCTGAGGGATCTTGCTTGTTAAGGGTGCTGAGAGTGGTTAGGGCGCCTCCCGGAGCTACAATTCCCAGAGTTCCCTGGAAAAAGTGATTGCTAAACTACTCTGGAGTGTTTTCCCATTATCACGAGAAACCTCAGAGGCCCACAGCACTCGCTTACTTTGTGGGGCTCCTGGTAGATCCCAAGCTCCAAGGAAGGGCAGGGCCCTTATCACAGGATATATATTTTTGGCTCTTGAAGGAGCTGCAAGTTATAGCCAGCATTCATTGCCCTGCCCTCCTCCACTATGTGTAGCTTAACTTTCTTCTGATCCCTCTAGCTTCTTCTCTGTTCTTTAGCCTTGTCTGAACAAGATTCCCTCCTGTACTTGCATTCCTTTTTATCCATCATAGAATCATGGAATCATGATTGTATGAGTTGGAACTGTAAAGAATTTTAGAGGTTGAAGGGTCATCTTGTCCAACCCCCTGCAATGCAGGAATCCTTTGCCCAACATGGGGCTCAAACTCACAACCCTGAAATTAAGAGCCTCATGCTCTACTGACTGAGCTATTGCTCCTGTCTCGCTCCCAGTCAACAATCAACCCTGTTGCTCTGGATGGCTGTATTTTGTGCCTCCCTTGCCCTTCACTTCTGCACTCCCCTTCAAAGTTGGGTCAGCTGGCTTTGCATGACCCTCTCCCTTGCCAGCCGGTTTCACTTTGCACATCGGTCCGCATCCTCTTTCAGAGAAAGAGAAGCACTCTGGATCATATCCATTGTACATCTACACTCTGGAGCATTGCCTCCTAGCCTGTGTTTCTTTTGCCCTTTACCAACGTGGAACCAAATTCCCTCCACCATTTGGTTGCCACACACTGAGACACGCGATTTCCTTTCTTTGCAACATTTTACAAGCTGTTATGACCTTCGCCATCACAAATCAATTTCTGCGCCACCGGCTCAATGGGCTGCCCTTTCCAGATGGTTAATTAATATGTCAAATGCTCAAGTTGCCCAATACGGGCTGCTGGAGCACTGCAGCCTCCATTGTGAAGTTCGACCGCTGAGTGCCAAATATTTTTTCTCCATCTTTCCAGCCAGTCACAGATCCGTGCTGGGACCTGGCTTCTTATCCCTTGCACTGCTGGTTATACAGGGGCTATTTGTAAGCAATGCTCAAGCCTGGCTAAATCTCTTCCCACCATCACTTTAAGCTTATTGTAATTACTTCCAAATGTCTCATTCATTCTACCCATCCCTTGAGTGTCACAATAGAGTGGTACCTCTGGTTAAGAACTTAATTCGTTCCGGGGGTCCGTTCTTGACCTGGAACTGTTCTTAACCTGAGGTACCACTTTAGCTAATGGGGCCTCCCGCTGCCACTGCGCAATTTCTGTTCTCATCCTGAAGCAAAGCTCTTAACCCAAGGTACTATTTCTGGGTTGGCGGAGTCTGTAACCTGAAGCTTCTGTAACCCGAGGTACCACTGTACCAGGTTCCTTATTCCCCCGTAGCCCCTCATCCTTTTATGTTCCTTTGCTCTAGTTCCTGTTCCACCAAAGATATTCCCACCTAAGCAGTGGTTCCCTCATCCAACCAGGAAGTGGTATAATCAGTTCCTGTTCAAAACGGGCCTTTGTCTGAACAACAAGAGTATTCATTCAGTGCTCCATGGTTGGAGATGTCTGAGAATTCCTACAGGAACAGTACAGTATTAGAGAAATGGGTGGTGCTCATTTTTTTGTTTTTTGTTTGTCCCATGTCTGAACAGAAATTTATCCAGTGGATATGATTAGTATTCACTGTTGTTACTTTCAGTCTGCTAATGATATGTAATTATTTTATTGATTGATGGATTGAATTTATATCCCACCCTCCCTCCCCAAAGAGCCCAGGGTGGCAAGCAAATGTACGATTTAAAACAAAGAAGAATGCAAAAACATTCCTAGACAGATCAAAACATTCTAAAAACAATTACAATTAAGAACATCTAAAATCAGTTACAGTTATCAGTTTAATCTTTTTTTTAAAGAAAAATTCTTCCATCCAATGATCTTATGGATGCCAGGAACAGTATTCTTCCACCAACAAATGTCTGGGTAAACAGGAACATTCTCAAATTCCACCTGAAAGTTAGTAACAATGAAACAGGAACAACTCAAAAGGGAGGGCATTCCACAACTGAAGAACCACCACTGAAAAGACTCTGTCATATAACAGCAGTCCTGAAAGACCTACATTGATTCCCAGTACGTTTCCGAGCACAATTCAAAGTGTTAGTGCTGACCTTTAAAGCCCTAAACGGTCTCAGCCCAGTGTACCTGAAGGAGCGTCTCCACCCCCATTGTTCAGCCCAGACACTGAGGCCCAGCTCCGAGGGCCTTCTAGTTGTTCCCTCACTGTGAGGTTACAGGGAAGCAGGCAGAGGGCCTTCTCAGTAGTGGCACCTGCCCTGTGGAACGCCCTCCCATCAGATATCAAGGAAATAAACAACTTTCTGACTTTTAGAAGACATCTGAAGGCAGCCCTGCTTAGGGAAGTTTTTAATGTTTGATGTTTTATTGTATTTTAATATTCTGTTGGGAGCCGCCCAGAGTGGCTGGGGAAACCCAGCCAGATGGGCGGAGTATACATATATTATTATTATTATTATTATTATTATTATTATTAGTGCCAACTGGGTAGCCCCCAGTGATGGCATTATGAAGGCCTCATCTACCCATCATAGGATTTTTATGACTTACCCCCCCCCAGTGCATTGTGCTTCCTTTGCATCAAAATGAACAGTGTGGAATAACATAAATACATTTTTTTATTTAAAAATATCGGCTCCAGCAGACAGTGAGACAAATAATGTCATTTTCGTTGGGTCAAATGGTAACAAAATGGAAATAGTGCTGCATGCAGCAACTATGGGGCAGGATGGAAAGTTATGCCTTCTTCTATCCCTTTCTGTGACTTACAGTGGGATTTAGGGAGCTATTGTGAACCCCAGATTCTGACTATTGCTAATAATTAATTTGCCACTGATAACCTAAATAATTACAGCCAATGCCTTTCCTTTTCCTGGACGTCTACACCAAAGAGTTCACCTGACTCTTCTCTGCCTTTTCGTTTCCCGATGCAGAAGCCTTACAATTAGGCACAAATAAGTAACTCATTAAAAGCATTTAGCAAAAAAAATCAAGTATTCTCCCAGTGCAGGTGTATTTAGCAAGCATCAAGCAGCAGGAGCCTCATTAGAGCTAAATGAAATGCACATTTCTGATTCTGGATTTCCAAATGGTCCCCCTCCAGGTAATCACTTTGGCATGGGGAACGCTTTAATGAAAAGGCAAAGCCATCTTCCGGCAAGAAAGGCTTCCTCCTGGGGCCTGGGAGGCCTCCTCTTCATATGCATGAAGTGGTCTCCTACAGCTAAGGGAGCTTTTTGCATGAAGCCGTGCTCATGTCAGCCTCCATCCGCCTGCACTGCTCCTCTGTGTGGTGGGAGGCAGGGATGGTCCAAACCAATCTGGTTCACAATCCCCAGAACAATGCACTAAAGGTCATAGCTCAGGGGCAGGGGCGTCTGCTTTGAATGCCAAAGGTTGCTGGTTCAGATCCTGGCATCTCCCAGTAGGGCTGGGAAAGGTTCTTGCTTGAGACCCTGGAAAGCTACTGCCAGTTAGTGCATACTCTCCAACATTTTTCTGATGAAAATAGGGACGTCCTATTCCATTATTATTATTATTATTATTATTATTATTATTATTATACCCCAGCCATCTGACTGGGTTGCCCCAACCACTCTGGGTGACTTCCAACATATATAAAGCATAATAAAACATTAAGTAAAGGTAAAGGGACCCCTGGCCATTAGGTCCAGTCGTGACCGACTCTGGGGTTGCGGCCGAGGGAGCCAGCGTACAGCTTCCGGGTCATGTGGCCAGCATGACTAAGCCGCTTCTGGCGAACCAGAGCAGCGCACACAAACGCCGTTTACCTTCCCACCGGAGCGGTACCTATTTATCTACTTGCACTTTGACGTGCTTTAGAACTGCTAGGTGGGCAGGAGCAGGGACCGAGCAATGGGAGCTCACTCCATTGTGGGGATTGGAACCGCCAACCTTCTGATCGACAAGCCCTAGGCTCTGTGGTTTAACCCACAGCGCCACCTGCGTCCCAATAAAACACTAGCATTTTTTAAAAAAAACTTCCTAATACAGTCGTACCATGGATCCCGAATGCCTTGGTACTCAGACATTTTAGCTCCTGAACAACGCAAACCCAGAAGTGAGTGTTCCAGTTTGCAAACATTCTTTGGAACCCAAATGTCCGACGGTGGTTCCGCGGCTTCTGATTGGCTGCAGGAGCTTCCTGCTGTCAATCGGAAGATGCACTTTGGTTTCTGGACGTTTTGGAAGTCAAACAGGCATCCAGAACGGATTCCGTTCGACTTCCAAGGTACGACTGTACAGGGCTGCCTGCATATGTCTTCTAAAGGTTGTATAGTTTCTGATCTCCTTGGCTTGGGGATTGCATAACTGCATGGCCTGCAACATTTCTCTGATTAAAATAGGGACGTCCTAAGGAAAAGTGGGGCATTCTGGGATCAAATCAGAAACCGGGATGGCTTCTGTAAATCCAAGACTGTCCCTAGAAAACAGGGATACTTGGAAGGTCTGTAGTGGTGACCATACTAAGTTAGATGGCCCAGTGGCCTGACTCAGTATAATGATGGGCTGTGGCTCAGTGGTGGACCATCTGCTTTGCACTAGGTTCAATCCCCAGTGTCTCCAGGTAGGGCCGGGAAACACCTCTGCTTGAAATCCTAGGAAATCTGCTGCCTGTGGTCTGTGTAGAAAATACTGAGCTAGATGGACCCAGTATTAGGCGGCTTCCTACATCCCTACATGAGCAAATGAAATAACAGTTAGAAAGAAAGAAAGAAAGAAAGAAAGAAAGAAAGAAAGAAAGAAAGAAAGAAAGAAAGAAAATGGGAAGGAAAGGGTTAAAAGATCCAGGGCCCGGACTCAGGACCCTCATCGTGTCCCCCTGCCATCATCACTGCAGGCAAGAAAAGAGGAAGGAGCGAAGCAAAGGAGAAGAGCAGGCCTGGGAGTGCCCGGAGGAGATATGTACCTGGCTCGGCGTTTGAAGAAGAAAGAAAGAAAGAGCTACGAAAGGCAACTGTCTTGCTCTGTCCTGGGCTACAAATCAGGCGGAAGATCTCAGAGACACGGCGGTAGCTGCCCTTACCTCCACGGTGGATGATCAGCAGGTGACATGGCGGGGCCTCTTTGGTACATTTGTTGTGGCACTTTAGCCTAAGAGACAGGAGAGACAAGAGCACTTTGAGAACCACAGTTCGGACTAGGAAGGGCTGTAGCATAATATAATACCTGAAGGAGCGTCTCCACCACCATCGTTCAGCCCGGACGCTGAGGTGCAGCTCCAAGAGCCTTCTCGCAATTCCCTCATTGCAAGAAGTGAAGTTATAGGGAACCAGGCAGAGGGACTTCTCAGTAGTGGCACCCACCCTGTGGAACTCCCTCCCATCAGATGTCAAAGAAATAAAGAACTACACAACTTTTAGAAGACATCTGAAGGCAGCCCTGTATCTGTAAGTTTTTAATGTTTGATGTTTTATTATGTTTTTATTAATAAATCTGACTGGGTTGCCCCAGCCACTCTGGGCAGCTTCCAGCAGAATATAAAACACACACAATAAAACATCTGACATTAAAAACTTCCCAGTACAGGGCTGCCTTCATATGTCTATGGAAAGTCATATAATTGTTTAACTCTTTAACTATTTGACATCTGATGGGAGGGCGTTCCACAGGGCAGGCACCACTACCAACAAGGCCCTCTGCCTGGTTCCCTGTAATTTCACTTCTCACAGTGAGGGAACTGCCAGAAGGCCCTCAGAACTGGACCTCAGTGTCCAGGCTGAGAACATCCCCTGTCTAAAACCCGGAGAGCTGTGTAGACCACAGTGATTTGGACCAATAGATCTGACTCAGTATGAGGCAGCCTCCTCGGTCTTTTCTATGTGTCTCAAAGACAGCTCTAACCATTCTGCATAAGTATCTCCATGCCCACCTGACCAAAGGGTCAGCTGACTCTGCCTAAATTCTTTTTTCTCTCTCTCTTTAACTATTTGAAAGCTGGAAGGAAGCCAGTAATCAGCTACTTATTCCCTGAGCAGTGCTTGACCTTCGGGGCAATAAAGATATTGTGGCGCTGTGGGTAAAAGCCTCAGCGCCTAGGGCTTGCCGATCGAAAGGTCGGCGGTTCGAATCCCCGTGGCGGGGTGCGCTCCCGTTGTTCGGTCCCAGTGCCTGCCAACCTAGCAGTTCGAAAGCACCCCCGGGTGCAAGTAGATAAATAGGGACCGCTTACTAGCGGGAAGGTAAACGGCGTTCCGTGTGCGGCTCTGGCTCGCCAGAGCAGCGATGTCACGCTGGCCACGTGACCCGGAAGTGTCTCCGGACAGCGCTGGCCCCCGGCCTCTTGAGTGAGATGGGCGCACAACCCTAGAGTCTGTCAAGACTGGCCCGTACGGGCAGGGGTACCTTTACCTTTTTATATACAGTATATAATATATAGGCACCCATCGCATCATCATTGTTCTTATTAGCCAGTATGGTATAGTAGTTAGACTGTCGGGTTTGAAATCCCCACTTGGGGGACACTTGGCCCAATTGCTAACTCTCTACCTAACCTACCTCTCAGGGTTGTTGTGAAGGTAAAATGGAGGGGAAGAACCATGCACACAACCTTGAGCTATCATTTGGAACTGCAGTGGCCCTTTGTCTACTCAGACTGCATGCAGGAGAGCAACCTGATAGCCATGCTAATGTAGGGTTGCTGCGAGGATGAAATGTGGAGGCAGGAAACCACTTATCTTGGAGGGAAAGTGGGATACAAAATGCTGTAATAAAAAAGAGGCAGATTTCCTTCAGTCAGTCCCCTGTTGGTATCAAGAAGGCTGGCATGTAGCCTACATGGAAAACCTTGCACACAAACTCAGGGTCCGTCATGGCATTTCTAAGCCAAGCAAACTCATTAAGAACTACTTTGCTTTTATTACACATGTATGCATCAAGGAATATGTTAATCCTCCGGCTCAATAGGCTTCAATTTGGAATTCATAATTGCTATTTAATGTCTCATCTTTATTTGTACTTTTGAACTATTATTTAGATGACTGGGATCTTTTGTTTCATTGCTGCAGTTCTTTTCCTCGCTTCTTGGATCACTTGGACGTGTTACGGAGGGGAAGGGAGCTGGGGTGGGCTCTTTTCTATGTTCTCACAGTTGTGTATTTTGCCTGCCATGAAAAACAATAATAATTATTTATATTTGAAAGATGGAGGGAGAGGGGAGAGAGAGAGACGTACTTGCAGTTTTTACATTTCAGTCCAAACAACATTCCTTTCCCACAGACAGTGCATGTCTGAGACATCCAATACTTGGTGGAAAACCTGTGCAGAGAGCGAGAAAGAGAAAGAGAAAGGTTGACCTTTGTTAAGTCTTAAGCAAAAGCTCCTTCTCAGAACAGTGAAATGTGTTATTTTTAATAAACCTGATTGTGCTCTGCTCTCCCTAGTCACCAAGACCAGCAGCACCAGAATTGCTTATTGATTCTGGTTTAGGAAGCCGATGCGAATCAATTCTGCTTGCAGCATGTGCCGCTCTATCCTTGAGTGGGAGTTTTGAGCGTGAGGAAGCACATCACAATTGTTAATTTCAGTCAGCTAATCAGGGTCCGTATTTGCTCATTAGAAACCCAGGGAGGTAAAACAAAACTGGTGATCTTAAAAAAGAGAGCATGGACTCAAGATTTTATTGGAAATGAATCAGAACCTCAGCATGCCCTACGAGCGGGGAAACACCTTAAAAATGCCTTCGCTGCTCCAGGGCATGTCTAGTGAAGCTGTTCAGGTGGTTGAACCCGCATCCCACTGTGTTCCTTTCCTTCCTGCCTGTTACTGGTCCATCTTATTCCCATTTCTTCCAACAGAGTAGGGGGTGGGGTGGGGGTGTTACTGGCATAGCATTTACTCAAGGTCAGGAGGTCATAGATAAAGCACAGTGGTTTTATCGACAGAAGCTGGAGCCTTATCTAAGTGATATCAGAAATTGAAATAGTGCTTAGAAGGGGCTTTACTGAGACTGGGCATTGACACACACACACGCACACCAGCACCGGCCTTTTGCTTATCAGCACTCTGCGTCCAAGATTATAATGCAGCAAATTAAACAGTCCAAGCAGACTCCAGAGAAAGGTTTTTCTTCAGGCTACTCATGCTGTTGAGTGGCTCTGTCCCTCAGATAGGATGAGGTGGGCAAAGGTGTGTGTAAGGGTTGGGCAAACTTTGGGGCTCAAGGCAGCCCTGGTGTAATTTCCAAAGCACCCTATTGGGATCAGTTCAGATCTCTGGTAAGAGTGAACTGACTCTCTGCTGGGCAGAGACAAAAAATGGGAGAAGGAGAAAGATAGGGGTGTCAGCGGGCCTTTTTTCTGACGGAACTCTCCGGAACTCCGTTCCAGCTCCTCTCAGGCATTCATTGTGAGTTCCAGCACCTCTTTTTCTAGAAAATTGCAGTAGGTGTCAAAAAGAGGGGGAGAAAAAAAGGGGTGTCAGAGAGAGAGAGAAAACAGAGTGTTAGAAAGAGAGGGAGCAAGGAAGGAAAGAAGAGATATCAGAGAGAAGCGGGAGTCAGAAATTGAGAGAAGAGGGGTGTCCTCATCTGCTTTTGACTCTAGCCCTGCCCACTGCTGGTCTCTGCCCCACCCAAAGCTGACATTCTGCCCCCCAACAGATGACCCAGCCCAAGAGAGTGCATCCTTTGACAGGAGGGTGGGGAGTTACCCACCCTGACCTGAGTTTAAAGTGATTCAGCTGTAGAAGGCTGTCAGGTTGCCAAAGCCAGTAACTGGGAGAAATAACCACAATGCATTTTCTGGTTTCTTAGGGAGGGGGTTTGCCCAATGGTGCTGCAGCCATTGCTTATCCATTCCTTCATTTGAGAGTTTACAGTTGGTGTGTAGACAGTCTGGCCTGGTCAGCTGACGCCTCACCAGTGAGCAGTAAATGGGCGAGAGACGGTCTCAGAGGAATCTCTGTGTTTTTCAAATGAGGTATCCAGCAGAGTCCATTTTCAGCAATCAAGGATGCTTCATAATTATAATGGATTTAAGAGGAATACAATATTTCTGTGGCGGGGAGAGAAATGGCATTACACTTTGGGGGGTCCAACTCCCCTCAGAGCAGGAGCCAGCAGCTCTTGGCTCTCGAGAGACCGCTGCTAGCTAGTCCTGCCATTTTGCTCTCAGCCAGAAGCCAGATTCCTATGGAGGGGGGACACTACAGCTTACTCCCTCCCTCCCAGGTCTTGGGACTGCATTCCCATCCAGACAGAAGACACAGACGACATCTTCTCCTCCATATTCCCAGTGGAGTTTAATGGGGTTACAAGGGCCTGCCAGTGCCACCTACTGACTGGAGGTCAGATGCTACCATAGAGTCTCTAAAGTTCCAAAACTAAAATTTGCGCCACCTACTGTCGGACTCCCTGTCCAAATAGTCACCAGGCACCACAGGGAAGCAGATATTGGGATGGGTTTGAGGGGGTCCTTGGCACAGCGCCCTTCCATTTGCCCTGGAGTGATGCCATGCCAAGGGCATTGTGGGAAATTAAAATGGCAGCACAGAAATGCAACCACACATTTCCCTCCTCCCAGAATTCTATGGTGATAGGAACATAGGAAGGAATATAGGAAGCTGCCTTGGGTCACATTCATACATACAGTGGTACCTCTGGTTACGAACTTAATTCATTCCAGAAGTCCATTCTTAACCTGAAACCATTCTTAACCTGAGGTACCACTTTAGCTAATGGGGCCTCCTGCTGCCGCTGCGCAGCCGGCACGTGATTTCTGTTCTCATCCTGAGGTAAAGTTCTTAACCAGAGGTACTACTTCCAGGTTAGCAGAGTCTGTAACCCAAAGTGTTTGTAACCCGAGGTGTTTGTAACCCGAGGTACCACTGTACATTTAAATCACTATGATACCACTTTAAACAGTCATGACTTCCCCCAAAGAATCATGAGAAACTGTGATGGTTGCTCATTCCTTACTCCCTGGTAACCATTGGAACTGGACCCCCAACAGAATAGGCAATAATTCTCCCTTACCTGAAACCATAACCCTCCTGAGGTAAACTGTTTCTCAATCATAACATTTAAAAAAAAGAAAGAAAGAAAAATACATATCTGAGTTTTTTCAATCACCTCATACCTGTGTTTAATTGAGTTTCCAAGATCCCGTCGAGGAATTTGCGGGGACCAGCGAGGTACTGAGAGTGTATCTGAAAGACAGAAATTAGAGGGGAAAGAGTTGATCCCAGGCAGTCAGATTCAAAATTATTTCTGCCACAATTGTCTGGCTTATTACATATCAAGGATGCCATTATGAATTCTGAAAAACAAAAATAGCCTTCTAAACAAATCTCAACATCTTGGCATGACAAGTGGGATACTGTTGCGGTACTGTGTTGTTGTCGTTTTGTGTGGAGTACAGTCATACATCGAGTTAAATGCACTTTGGGTTGAGCGCGTTCGAATTGGGCTCCGCGGCAACCCGGAAGTAACGGAGAGCATTACTTCCGGGTTTCGCCACTCACGCATACACAGACGCTCAAAGTGACGTCATGCGCATGCGTGGTGGCAGCGAAACGTGGCCCGCGCACGCGCAAACACACCGTCGCATCTTGTGTTCCATTCGGGATGCAAACGGGGCTCCAGAACGGATCCCGTTTGCATGCCGAGGTACCACTGTATAGCCAGCCATGCCCTTTTCTGGGTACTCCATTCCAGATCCAGCCTCCAAGGGGTGCACTGCAGCTGTTAACCATCCTGCAGCAGAAGTAGTGAGCAATGCATTCCTTGGAGGCTGGTGCTGCTGCCCCTCTGGATCCTGCTTCCTGAGCCGGTCGCCTCACTTTGCCTCATCCATGGGCAGGGCCGGGTTTAGGTTTGATGAGGCCCTAAGCTACTGAAGGTAATGGGGCCCTTTATATGTCCAGCTGTCCTTTGTCAACAACAAATTGTCGCTGTTTTTTGTGTTGAATATATGCTATAAGGGGTGGCGCTGTGGGTTAAACCACAGAGCCTAGGGCTTGCCGATCAGAAGGTCAGCGGTTCGAATCCCCGCGATGGGGTGAGCTTCCGGGGTGAGCTTCCGTTGCTCGGTCCCTGCTCCTGCCAACCTAGCTGTTCGAAAGCACGTCAAAGTGCAAGTAGATAAATAGGTACCGCTCCGGTAGGAAGGTAAACAGCGTTTCTGTGCACTGCTCTGGTTCGCCAGAAGCGGCTTAGTCATGCTGGCCACATGACCCGGAAGCTGTACGCCGGCTCCCTCGGCCAATAAAGCGAGATTAGCGCTGCAACCCCAGAGTCAGTCACGACTGGACCTAATGGTCAGGGGCCCTTTACCTTTACCTTTACCTATATGCTATATGATACTTTATGGACCTAATAGGTATCTAAAGCAATTTGCACATAACAAAATAGGTATTTTATCAAAGTAATTGTTATACAAAAGGGGAAACCAGTGATATTTTCAGGATCAGGCTAGCAGGCGGGGCCCATTACTTACATCATAGGAGCCTACACAACACAAAACACTGTTGATGTATGTAAAAGGTAAAGGTAAAGGTACCCCTGCCCGTATGGGCCAGTCGTGTCCGACTCTGGGGTTGCGCGCCCATCTCGCTTAAGAGGCCGGGGGCCAGCGCTGTCCGAAGACACTTCCGGGTCACGTGGCCAGCATGACAAGCTGCATCTGGTGAGCCAGCGCAGCACACGGAAATGCCGTTTACCTTCCCGCTAGAAAGCGGCCCCTATTTATCTACTTGCACCCGGAGGTGCTTTCGAACTACTAGGTTGGCAGGCGCTGGGACCGAGCAACGGGAGCACACCCCGCCGCGGGGATTCGAACCGCCAACCTGACAATCGGCAAGTCCTAGGCGCTGAGGTTTTACCCACAGCGCCACCCGTGTCCCTGTTGATGTATGTAGGTTTTGTTTTATTTGGTTTTTAGCTTATATTTTGGAAATGTACATCCAGTTTCTTTTTCTTTAATTTTTTGGGGGGACCCCAATAGAGTGGAGCCCTAAGCTATAGCTTGTTTAGCTTACACGTAAATCTGGCACTGTCCGTGGGCTGGCCTGGAGCGGGTACAGCTTTTTAGTTATTTCTCGAAACCTCCCCCAAGTTTGCTGACACTTCCTCTTACGCGAGGGTTTCAGGCATGCAAGGAAGGCAGATGCTCTACCACCTGGGCTATGGCCTTTCCCAAGAAGACTTGGTGGGACACTTGTTCCCCTGGCAAAACGTTTTGCACCAAAGGAACGTGGCCAAGCAAGAGAATGCATAAGCAGATTGCTGCTAATTCTGCTGCCCAATAGATGGAGCAATCTGTTACGTGATGAGTTGCTGCGTTGGGATTGCTCTGTTGCGCAACATTAAACCCTGAGTCCCAATTGCGCTAATGGACAGAGAAAACTATGGTAGATACTGCCCAAAGTAATTAATTATTGCCTATTGGCATTAGGCAGGTGCCTTCGCAGGTTTGGATGCCTGCTGAAAAATTTTCTGTTTCAGCAAGCCTACCCAGAACAGACGATTCGGTTTCTTTTCCTTTAAATGCTTTATTAATTCGATCTTTAGCTTTAAAGATGGGTGTATATATGCCTTGAATATACATTGTTTTTGAATTCTTTTGCTTCTTTGAACCATGTTTTATATATTTAATGGGACTCGAACACCACTCGGGGAATGTTTTCCAGCAAACAGTTTTAATAAAGGAATGATATTAATTAATTATTTCAGGGAAAGTGCACGGAGGCAAGAAAACCTACATGCTAATTAGTTTGTTATTTATTTCAAAGCATTTATACACCACTTGGTTGTGTGTGTTTTTTAAAACAATAAAAGCTCAAAGCAGTTTACAAAGAGAATAAAACAATAAAATTATGAGTAAAAAGGACTCTTCATAACATTCTAGGGTTGCCACATTTCAAAAAGTAAAAACCAGGACACCCCAAAGTGTCCTGGCATTTCCACCACAATTTAACCCCCACTGGTGGTTTTCCAGAGTTTGAAAACTGCAGGGCTTGATTCAATTATTTTTATTTTCATCACAACAAAACCATCTGATACCCAGACGCTTCTGATTTCTTCCTGCCCTCTCTGCTTCTGACCCAGTTGAAATAATATGAAATTCTGTAGCAGACCCTCCAAGTGTCCCTATTTTCCAGGGACAGTCCTGGATTTACAGAAGCTGTTCCCAGTTTCTGATTTGAATATCCCGCTTTTCCTTAGGATGTCCCTGTTTTCATCAGAGAAATGTTGGAGAATATGGAGTTATACAACCAACCAAGGAGATAAGTAACTATACAACCTTTAGAAGACATCTGAAGGCAGCCCTGTATAGGGAACTTTTGAAATGTTTAATTATGTTTTTATATATGTTGGAAGCCGCCCAGAGTGGCTGGTACAACCCAGTTAGATGGGTGGGGTATTATTATTATTATTATTATTATTATTATTATTATTATTATTATTGAATAGGCTGCCCCTATTTTCATCAGAGAAATGTTGGAGGCTATACTATAGGTTTCCACTTGTAATAATAATGAAAATAAATGCATTGTTTACCCTAGAGAGAACGATTTATAGAAAGAGTATTTGGGCACAGTTACAAGCATTGGCTTTATTTTAACAGCAGAGGCTCTTGGGTACCAAAGTGAAAATCAAATATGATTCTCGGAGACCCAAATGCCATCCATTAGGGATGCAAGCTGGGCCCACGGACATCTGACCACCTGAAACAGCCAGGCAGACTCCAGCAGTGACCCCTGGGTTTCCTATGCATACCTGTCAATCCTTCAGCAAACACGCTCCCGGGGTGTTTTTTTAACATAGGATATGAACGCCTCTGTTTGCTTTCATATCCCATTTTAATATTGCAGGTTGAGGCGTTCTTAATTATGTGCCATTTCAGAAGGTTACATTTGCATGTGGCTTCCTGTGAGGAGAGCAGCGCTCCCTCTGCTGCTCAGGATAACTCCACCGCATCAATGTGCATCTCAACAAAATGCGGGGAGGGGAGGCGACCGCTACGCAAAGACCCAAGAACTGCCACATTCAGACCATACATTTAAAGCACGCTGATACTTTAATGGTGCTGGGGTCTCCTACATTGGATACTTTTAAGCAGCAGTTGGTTGGCTATCCGTCATGGATGCTAATAATAATAATAATAATAATAATAATAATAATAATAATGGGATGTGGGCAGTGCTGTGGGTTAAACCACAGAGCCAGGACTTGCCGATCAGAAGGTCAGCATTTCGAATCCCCGCAACGGGGTGAGCTCCCGTTGCTCGGTCCCTGCTCCTGCCAACCTAGCAGTTCAAAAGCATGTCAAAGTGCAAGTAGATACGGTAAATAGGTACTGCTTCAGCGGGAAGGTAAACGGCGTTTCCGTGCGCTGCTCTGGTTCGCCAGAAGCGGCTTAGTCATGCTGGGCACATGACCCAGAAGCTGTACACTGGCTCCCTCGGCCAGTAAAATGAGATGAGCGCCGCAACCCCAGAGTCGGCCACGACTGGACCTAATGGTCAGGGGTCCCTTTACCTTTACCTTTACCTTACCTACACCTCTTTCATGTGTTTTGAGATATTTGTAGATTATCTGTGTTGTTTTGATTTGTGTAAGGCCCCTTGAGCCCCGGTCTATAGAACAGGCAGCATATTATAATACTTAATAATAAATATAATAACAATGCTTTTTTCTTAATCAAAATGTTTAGGGGTACTCTCTTTTTCCTACTCATATTGAAATACTGCCCCTCAATGAGGCCAAACTTAGATTCACAAAATGTTTAGGGGTACTCCTGCATCCCCCCAGAAAAAAAGCACTTATTATTATATTAGTAGCCAAACACATATCCAACAGCAGCCAATCGGTTTCCTTCAGGTATTACCCAATGATAGGTGGGTGTCAAAGGCAAAAGTGGGTAGAGCAATGAATGAATATGTTACCTTTTATTTTGATTTTTTTTTCTTGAGTTAGCAACTACATGGAAAAATTCAGAGAAGTGAAAAAGAACTATGTTCTGATCCACACGGCAAATAACAAAGTCCTCAAGACAGCCTGGTCCTCAGACCTGTCTGTGATGTCCTGGACAAGATACATATCTGCTGCTTTGTGGTTCTGCTCATCCAGTATCTGCTCCCCCCATTTGAAGATGGTGTCAACAAGATTTGCTCCTTTCTCTGTTGGGGAATTAATATCTTGGGAG